AATGCTGCACGAGGAACACCACCTCTGTGCCCACTCCACCCAGTTTACCTTGGGAGGCTGCTGGGGATCAGGGCTGATTGAAGGCATGTCTGGGTTATCAAGGCCTGGTGAGGGAAAGGGGGGTTAGGGAAGATGCTAATCCCCAGGTTAGATCATAGAAGAGGTCAAAGGGGTCACAGGGTCAAGATGTGTGGATCACAGGCTCCGGCCACTGGGAGGGTCATTGGAGATTGCAGAGTCTGATCACAGGGTCTCACGGGGTCACAGGGTCCAGGTCTCACTTGGGGGCCCACTGTTCAGCAACTCCACAAAGTTGGATGGGAAGGCTCCCAGCTGCCCATTCTTCTTTCCCAGCCACCAGCCGTCCTCAATCTGGGGAAGGGGGAGGACGCAGGGGCATCTGGTTCTGCCCCAAGGGTCTCTCCAGAAATCATACTCTCTTGGTTCTGCCCCAGTTCTGCCCAGTGACCCCGTCCATCCTTGCTCCCTCACTTTCCCATCGCCCACACCCTCACTTCACTCATCTCCCCTCACCCGGGGACATGCTCCATCATCTCCCCCAAATCCTTGCATCCCCTCATCCCCTCACCTCCTTTATCACTTCCACAATCTCTCCAGCTTGCAGCTTCAACTCGTCCGCCTGCTCCGGGCTGTAGTTGAAGTTCACTTTGCACCATCTTTGGGGGCTCGGAGATTTGGCAGGGCGACCTGGGATGGGACGCGAACGAGGCCGCTGCAGCCGGGCGCGCCAGTCCCTTGAGCTGGGGAAGTGCGAGGGGAACGCAGCCCCAGCGGCTGAACCGCCCGGCCCCGCCCAGGGCGGAGCATTGTGCTCTAGAGCGAATCACAGGCCGCCCAGCGGCACCGCGGCTCCGCCCACAGAGGCGCCGGCGGGGCGAGTAGGGGCCCGCAGAACAGCGGCGCTCGCGCCCGCCTCCCCCTCATGGCGCCCGCCCGCCAGGCTCTTACCTCGGCTGCGCGCACAGCGTGGTCGCGGCGCCTCTCCCGCGCAGCGCAAAGTCTCAGGGATCTCCTGGAAATGAGGGCCCGGGGCAGGGGGCTCTCAGCTCCCGCGGGTGAGGGCTGAGACCCCTCGCGCCGCCAAGTCGACCCCCGGCCCGGCCTCACCTGCACCAGGCGCTCGGGGAAGAAGCCACAATGTGCCCCCAGCTCTCCACGCAGCCAGCCCCGTGTGGGTCCCTTGCACACCTGTCGGACCACGTCCCCGGGAGCCAGACTCAGCTCGCTCTCCTTCTGCGCGCGGTATCCGGCCAGGACCAGCACCTCTGCGGGCGGAAGCGCGGCCCAGAAGGGCCCAGTCAGGGCCACCTGGCCATGGTGCGAGTCCAGGACTCGGGGTGGAGGACAGCAGAAAAGTGGGTCGTGGTGTAGGCTTTTGTTGTGTTCCACACGGTGTGTAGAGATGCCACCCCAAACCCTCTGCACGTACCCATAGCTTCCGGGGCGCCTTCCAGAGCCGGGCAGGGAAGATAGTGTGATCCCGCGGGCAGCCGAGCACTGGGCCTGGATAGGCTAGGACCGGGACGGTGAAGCAAAGGAGGCGGAGACACAGGCGGATAGGCTAGGTCCCGCTCCAGGTGCTGAGAGTGGGTGTGGGAGAGGCGGCCCGGCTCAGCAGGTTCGGCCCCCAACCCCGGGGGTGAGGAATCCAAGGTCTCCGACCAATTCTGAGATCACAGCTCCCCCACCTGCTCTTGCCTGCCTAGTTACCTGAATTTTCAGTCTAGCTGCCTCCGGTCCTCCCAACCTTGGCCCTGAGGCTCCCACCCACCCGCAGAGCTTTCCCGGCCTATCCTCTCCCTACTGGTAAGCCTTTAGCTTCAGGGGAAAAGGTGGGAGAGGCACATACCAGGGTGGGGCGCCCCCTGCAGGTAGGAACCGCTCCAAGGCGGGAGCTGGGTGGAAAGGGGTGGTTGCTCCGGTGGGCACAAAGCTACTGCTGGTATACTCAGCTTTCCCTGGGAGGCGTATATCCCTCCCGGGCACCCGTGTACCCCTCTACGGGAAGTGGAAGAGGGCAAAGACGGTCTCAGTTTGGTTTCAGAAAACACCTCCAGATTCTGGAGCGGAAGGCAGGAAGGCACTTTAGCTTTCAGTGCTGCTGCTGGCTACAGCCAGCCCGGAGCTGGCAAGGGCGGAAGGTCTAGGCCCACCTAGTGCACCTAGTGCCCATCCCCTGTGGGCTAGGCTTTCAGGTAATCTTCCTGCTCAGTGGAGAGCACAGAAGGCTGTCTGTTATCCACACCCCTTGGCCCCAGCCCCACCACCTTGGAAGCCAAAGTCCTTGCTCATGCATGACACACCACAGTGAAAACACCTTGTTCTCCTGGGGTGTCCAAGGTACAGGATAAAGCAAAACCATTGGGATGGGAATGCAGTCATAAGCCAGCGGAACGATGGCTGGGGCTCCTCCCAAAACAAGTTGTGTGTGGTACTGGTGAGGATGGGGTTGGGCAATAGTCTGAGCCCCGTCCCCAGACTTTTTATATTTCAGGTTTCCTGAAGCTACTATGGGAGATATACACCCCCCCCAACACACACACACTCAGGGTGACAATGACCAGAGCCCATTTACATCTGCCACTTCGTTTATTTTTATTTGCAGGAGGAGTTGAAACAAATCTTTAAGCACGGTGTTTTCATTTTTTTCCCTTAAACATGAATCAAGTAAAACCAACTTAACTATAGAAATGTAGCAAAGTAAGGAGAAAAGTAGCACAACCCAAGAGGCAAAGGTTGGGGGGGGGAGAAGTGGGTGCAGTCCACATATACCATATGCATAAGTGCCATATGATTCACCTGCTCAGGACCGCCCTCCCAGAAGGCAAGCACAAGGACCCATTTTAAGAGGATGCTCCTCCCCTGCCCCAAACATCTGAGAATGCTTCAACTTAAAGCTTAAGGTTAAAAAGGGGGAGGAAAAAGAAAAAAAGAAAACCCCACAAACCACCCAGCCATAACCACCTTCCTTAATCGATCATAGGAGTTTCTTTTCATTTTATAAAAAGATTAATAAAAAATATTGAAAAAATTATTTTCTCATCTTATATTTGTAAAGATAATAGAATTCAGAAGTTTCTTAGAAAACAGACCAGAAACCGCCATCCAGTTTCCACCGCTGTTGCTGAGAGATCAGCAGGACTAGAAAGTTGGGATACTGGAGCTGCTGGTGGAGCATGGGAAGCCCATCCCAGAAGAAATCAGAAAATATTGGGGGAGGGGGCACATGGGGTATGGTTAGGAGCAATACCATGTGATACATGGCTACGAAGAAAAGGGGAACACAAGGTGGTCAGAAAGGCCTGGAACTCCTCCTCGACATACAAAACCAATTTTTACAAAGATCCAAGCAGTTTGGTCCCAAACTGAGGTGAACACTTCAATGTTTATTCACATGCTTTGTTTTCTCTTTTAAGAATCAAAGTTGTCCAAATTAAATCTTTCTGCTAATGTTACTACATATGCCTAAAAAAAGGAGGGCTTTAAAAACCAGGAAAAGGGAGAAGAAATTAAAAATCATCAAATTAGTCCTCTTAGCTCCAAATGAAATGAAATTAAGAACAAAACTGGTTTCTAATAGGAAACAAACCAAAATCCAAGTATCGCTCTCCCCTCCCTACCCCAGCCCCCACCCCACACACCAACAACAAATCAGAAACACAGCTAAAGCCCAATGTGCTGTGTTCTGCTCAAGAACTGGGCCTGACCCCAGGCTCCTCCTCGGCCGGCCACCTGTCCAGTGGGACACCGTCAGGGATGCTTTCGGCTATAGGATTCGGCATGGCTGGTGGGGGGTGGGAGGGGATTTTCAGAATCTTCTTGGGGCTCCTGTTTAGTTCTTCACCAGCCATCTTCCCAGCGCCTCTCCCCCCTGGGTAGGAGCTCCCGTCAGAGTGGCCCCTACTCAGTGGTGGGCTGTAAATTGTCCTTCTCTTCTCGGTTCTCTGTCCCACTCTCGTCATCTTCAATCTCCCCTTCTTCCCCACTGAACTTGTCGTGGGCCCATTTGGGGCTGGTGCTGGATTTCCGGAACATGAACCTGCCTCGACCCCGGGGAAAGGCTCCTCGGCCCCGGCCCCGGCCCCCCCACTTCTCACTGCCTTCACCTTCACGGTCATCATGCTGAAAGGAAAGAATACTGCCATCAATGCCAGAGCATCGTCTCTGTACCCACCCCTAACTGTTACTTTCTCAAACCTATATCCCGACCCACCTTTTGCTCCTTTTTGGTTCTCCTCCCTGTTCCCCACTCCAAAGACACTCCTGATTCAGATCCAAGAGTGTTCAGTTGGGTGCCTTAGGAACGCTAAGGCAGGAGCCTGGGCATTATAATGATGATGATGATAAAATCTTCACTGAGCACTGAAAGCCTTATACATGCATTAGCTCATTTAATCCTAACAACTACCCTATCATTACCACCCTCCACTATGCAAATGAGGAAACAGGCTTAGGAACTTTAAGTAACTCCATATTATTTAGTACACCATCTCTCAAAGGATGGGTTTAAAAATGCCAATCACGTCAAAACGTGAAAGTCTGTCAGGGAGCAAACAGAAAAAGCAACATTCAAATACATAGCTAAGGCTCCAGCTCTTCCCTTCCCACCCCACCCCACCCCCAACCAAGAACAGACAGCAAGACAAAGAGTAAAAGAGTTGCTCATGGCCTTAAGCCACTTAGTGGAAAAATCAGGACCAGAATCCAGTCTCCCGTCCTGTATCTCCCATCTTAAAGGAGACAGTGTGGCAGAGTAGAAAAAACACAACCTACATCTCAAACAATCCCTTCTCTGATGATCTCATGAGAGGAGGCATCCAATGAAAGAATGAATGAGAAAGAATTTTAAAAACTACAAGTCGTCAATCCCATGGTTTCAGAATCCAACTGCCCACCCATGCAAGCAGGGGTAGGTTCCTGGGGTCAGTCAGTGAAAGGGGCCAGCTGCTTCTTACCAGGGTTACTTGTTTACACAGCTAAATGCATCAGGTCGGTGATGCTCCTCTAGGAGGCAAACAGGGGCAGGAAAAAGGGCTGTGTATGGCCTTTAATCCTCCCCCCTATAGCTCCTATCCTGGGCCCAGCCAATATTTCCCTATATATAGACTCAAGGGTCTTTGAGGAGTCTCAAAGCAGCTCCCAGCAGCCCTAGAAAAGCAAAGGTGGCTGTGCAGAGCCCTCTACACAACAGCCTGTTTCCTAGTTGTACAAATGACAATTCAAACCCATGCCAGGCTTTCTCCTAAGTGACGGAGACTCAGCTCCAGGTTTACCTTGGTCACAACACTCAGAGTCACATCTGTCTGCTTGGATCTAAGCCTGCTGTTGACATAGAAATGCCAAGAGAGTTCACTCACTAGCCAGGTAATTCAGCCTAGAAGAGCCCCAACCTGCGAGAGGCCCAGAAGGTGCCTGGTACTTGGCAATGACCAACAGCTTAGAAGAGAGAAGGCCCAGTGGCATTTCATTTTGGAGACAGACAGATCCTGAGCTGTCTTCCCTGTCAATCTTGCCCTGGTGAGTGACAGAACGGAACTGTGGCTGAAGGGGAGGGTTATAGCTCTATCCCTGGGTAGAGACTGAAGGGAGGCTGAGATTGGAAGTGGGTGAGCAGTAAAGCAAGTTTACAAACTAAAAAGGGAAGGGCAACCTTTCTTGTTTATCCCAGAATGCGTAAATGTCTAAGGCAATAAATCCTTTCGAGGTCAGGGTTTCCTCTCTAGAGAATACTCATCTTGCCAGCACTATATTGTCCCACAAGTATACATCCCCGCAGTGCAAGACGCCTGCACACATACTCAATCAGTTCTGAACAGACCAACTAAAGCCTTGCTATCAGCTACTACATGTGCCAAAGGCCCCTGGCTCTTCCTGGTTAACCCTAGACACATACCAGGTAATACTTCTTGCTCTTGGGTGTGTACTCGGGGTCCCACTCCTCCTCCCGGCTTCTCTTTTGAAAATCGTTGTTGCTGTTGTTGTTGCTGTTACCAGAGTAGCTGCCTCTGCCCCAGCCTCTCCCTCTGGCTCGAAATGGCTGTGGTAATAAACAGGGAAACGGAGAAAAGGACCATGTCAGAACAGAGAAAAACAATGCCCTGGGTTCTATTCATCTGCTCAAACACTTTTCTGGCACAAAACAAACTGTTGTCCTCCAGTCAATACGCTGGTCAACTGGTTTCCAGCCAGTCCCTTTCTGTTCATCTCAGGTCTACAGCCTAGACAGAGGACAACATGGCACAAGGGTCTCCCTACACACAGCAGGAGCCAAGATATGTTGGGAAGTTCTGAGACCAGAAGTCATAAGAGGCTTTCTAGCTCAGTGATTATGATCAGTAAAATAACTGTAAGTGGAAAGCCTGTGTAATGGAGAACCACAGATTCCAAAGTCTGTAGACTGGATTACTTTTATCATGGGCAACGAAACTGGCATTCTGATAAACACATAATGAAGATTGGTGGGAGCAGGGGCTTAGAGAAAAGGGGTGGGGTGGGGTCTTACAAAGGTCCCTCGAGCTCTGCCTCCTCTTTCATTTGGACCCACAAAGTCTTTGGTCCCCAGTCTTGATTTGTCAAAGCCAGTGGTGCTCTCCTCTCTCTCCTCCGTTTCTTCAGTGTACTCCTCCGCTTTGTAGGAGTGCGATGACTGGGAGGAAGAGGATGATGATCTGGACCGGTCTCGTGCTCTCCGGTGCTTCCTATGAAAACAAAAGAGCCAGGATAATCAATAACCCCCTTGGCGAGGGCCTCCTGGATAAGCAGCACAGGGCAATCAGGAATGCGTCTGAAGATGAGCAACCAAAAAACCCCAACGTACCCACCCAGGGTCAGTCACGTTCAGTGACACATCTATGCCTGAGCCTGTGATGAACATGGGACATATACATGAGGAGGAACAAAATATAGTCCACAGTCTCTGGCAGCTCAGTTTAATACATGTGCATGAACTAGGAGGGCAGAAGGAAACTAACACTGTACTGAGAGTCCCATGCACATGGTACTGGGACAGAGGCTTTATATATTACCATTTATTTGTACTTTCTAGGACTTTATTTCTCATAGGAAGAACATTACCTGTCTCTTGGAGCTGCTCTAAAGATTAAACACTTTACAGGTACACAGTAAATGGCAACTCTGATTATTCAGTATTATTTCTTCATTTTTTTAAAAGTGATTCAGGTGACAAGGCTGAGCAGAAGAACCTGGATCCAAACCTAGCTCTAATTATACCACTGCTACACATACCACCTCCCACTGAGCTCAAACAGGTTGTGTTATTAAGCATAGGATCTGGCAAAACTCTTCCCAGAATTATTTCCCTACCTTGCCTTCATCTGGGGGAAATTACAGACCAGAGCAAATTAGACTACTACAGTGAGTCACTGTCTATGTACTAGAGGTCAGTGCCAGCCCTGCCTCTAGGGGATGTTGCCTCTTCTAAGGTGGCAAGAAAGGCCAGACTCCCGGGGTGGAACAGGACTTACAGGGAGAAGCCAGCCAAGTGTCAGTGGCCTCTCACTGTCCTCCCTTCCCTCCTCCTCCATTAGGAAAAGCACCTTGCCTGTCCCCCACCTCCACATTTGAGAAGCTCAAAAACTTAACTACGTGAATCCTACTAGCATTTACTCATACTAAGGAAAAACTAAGTTACTGTCATAGGATTCATGTAACTCAGAGGTAGAACTCTGACTCCTAGAGATCACTGCTATTTCCAAAAGACTCCAAAAGGCTCCAGATTTGAATCTTAGCACTGCCTCTTCATGTGTTCCAGGGAAAGGAATCAGAATCAGTAATCCAGACCCAACCCTGAAACGCTTGAGGGGTTCTGCTCCCTTTTTACCAGGGCAGCCCTGAGGACTGTGCCACTCCATTTCCTTTTGAGGAGTGCCAGGCCCTCTATCTATGGCAGCCCTAGAGCTGCTGGGGCTCCTAACACACAAGTAACACACTGGAGAGAGAGAAAAAGTAGAACAGAAGACCTGAGTGTTGATGTCAGCTGGTACTTCTGTGATCTTAGACAAATTGTCCTAAGCTTAGCTTCTTTATCATTCAAATGGGCAAAATGGGTATCACACCAACTATCCAACTGTTCTCAAAAGATATGATAACAATCAAGTGGATACAAAACTGTTAGCCAGCTGAAGTTCAGACACAGCAAAAGTGGTGTTGCTGCTTACGGGAAGGTACAGGGCTTCAACTCTGCGACATTTAATGACACATGGCTGAAAAGCCACAGAACTTCAAAAATGTACACAGAAACAACAGGACCTTGGCATGAGTGTTGCCTTATGAAATTCAACAATGCCACCTGTGTTTACAGAACAACCTCTCTTGAAAGTGTCCGCTAAATTAGTTTGAAAGGCATTAAGATCATTACTCTTGTCCTATCTAGTTCCACACCATTTCTTTGACCAGTGTTATTACCTGGTAATGACTTGAGCCATTTCTAAAACACAAGCTCCTCATGAAGACTTGTGATGAGAAAAAACATATTTAAAACAGCTACAATTTAGATTCCCAAATGATGCTCTGTGCTGTCCCGAAAGCCAAATTAACTGCCCATCTTCCAGCAGGTCTTCTTTGGATAAGGTTCATATCTAGTTTGATGCAAAAGTTCTGTTTTCAAGCTAGTAGCCTGACTTGACAGTTACACGGTATAGAAGAAGAAACTGCAAAAGTTGCTATTATTCCTAACCCTAAGTGCTCTGCCTTGGAAGGTCTGGTGTACAGCCTTGAGGGGGCAGACGAGAGACTCCACTAAGGAGTCCGGATGAGGTGACAGGGGCTTACGTACTTCTGTTTCTTTGATCCTTTATGGGTTTTCTCTGTTTTCTCTGCTGATCTTTCTCTC